ATACCACCACCTCGACATTGGTTTGATCAAAACCTTGTAGAGTAGTTTTTTTTTTGCTAATTTTTGCGCAATCTTTTAAATAAAAAAACTGTCGAGCTATATGGCTGCGGAGAAGTTAGTACGAATCAAAAGCAAAATTTTTATAATTTGTGTTTTCTTCTGTATAAGAAATTTTTCCAATTTTAAAGAAATAACTTTTTTTTGTTAAAATAATATCAGATTCACCCACTGTAGATATGACGAAGTTGTTTCGGTGACGTCAACTGTTGTCGTAACCTTGTATTATAGAAGCCTTGGAATCAGCTTATAGGATGGTACACTCAAAAACATACCTCAGTATGTTGTACTGGCCGTATTTCAATTTTGAATGGGAAACAACAATAGCATTTTTATGATAGTCATAAAAAAGGCAATTTGACGATATGACACAATATGGCACCTTGTGAATAGCCCAAATATGTATTTTAATTTGATTTATTCCTTAATATTGCAACGAACTGTCGTTTTGCGAGTAAGCCGCGAATGAACAGGGTGAACCACCATCAGTTTGCGTTTTGAGCAACAACTTATTCTAGTCTTGACATCTTCAATGACTAACCCGATTTGTCACAAATTTTCTACACGCTACAAGAAAATTAAGAAATTTTGAAAGCATAGACAAAAAAGAAATAGTGAGTGTTAAACCACTACTTAACAGTGATTACGCACGAAATTCGACCGAAGTAACTCACCTTCAACCAGTTCATGAATCAATTTGAGCAGCTAGTTCACCAAACCGGTTCGTTAATTTAACTGAAGTAGCTAAAACTGTTCTCTCACAACCACCAAATTCAATTCGACATTATTAGCAGGAATTGTACTTCTATTTTTGCTGGAGTTTGCATTAGGAAGTCAATATTAAGGCCTGCAAAGTCCAACTGTTCCACGAAATGAAGCCTCATAACAATTCGATGCGATTATGGTTAGCTGAAGGGCGCTTGACAGAAGATGAGTATTTTTATCGCGAGTATTTTCACTGCATGTTAAGGGACCTGAACCAATAAATTCATTGATCAATAGATGAAGGATCCTTTATTACCGTCAATGGTGATCATTATCATGCCTTGCTCAAAGATTTCTTGACTCCCAATGACTCAGAGAATGTATGTTTTCAATTTAGACGACGCTACCAGTCACATAGTCAATGTAACAACCGATCTTTCCTTAGCTGTGTTCAGAAATCGTAAAAGTAACCAATATAACGCTATCAGCTAGTTGCAACAGCTGGACTATGTTTCTTCAGGATATCGTCAAAGTAAGTGCCATGCCAATCATCCCGAATCATACTTGAAACACGAAATTGAAGCCGTCACTGGAGCAGCAGTGGGCCACTTAATCTAAAATATTGGGAAAAATTTTATCATTAGAAAAAGTAAATTGGGCTTTTGGAATGCTGGTTGGGGACGCCGTAAACAATTTAAAACGTAATAGTAAATGGAAGATCTATCGATAGTAAATTCTTCTAAATTAAAAAATATAAAATAATAGTGAATGAGGTTTCCCGTATTTTGTAAAACAAATTTAAAGCTCAAACTTTTCGTGGTGTACCCCTCACATCATAACAAATGAAACAGGTGATTTTTCAAAATTTAGTTATATACCACAAAATTATATTCAATCACTGAAAGAATTTACGTATTATTGAAAATAAGTTTTAAATTTAATTTAATTAGAATAATCATTCAAATGGCAATGAATATACAAAATTTTACCTACTCAATGGAAAGAAATATCTTCATCCCATCTATATCTATACGTGGGAGGTTAAAGCGTACACTCGCGCGAATTCAAGAAGATTCCATAAAAATATCCAGGCATTACTTTCACCTAATAGCGCTGTCAAAAGTAGGTGAAATCAGAAAAACGATGTATATGTACGTATATGGGTAAATAATAATGACATTGATGCATTTTATACGATTACCCACATATTAATTCTGGTAGATACAAACATATGTATGTGGGAGTAAAACCTGGGAACAAAAAAGCGGCGTCTACCGACATTACCAATAGCAGCTACTTATATTACTACACAACACTGGTCAAATGATAAGAAGCCCAGCCACGGACAAAACCGAGCAGTTAAGTTTGACTAATTTAACTAAAAGTACAATTGAATATATTAAGTGAAGATAGGAATTGAAAAAGTTAATAGGAAAGTGAAATTAAAATAATTGAGCGTTATCTACGACTATGTAAACTAACGCTGGACAACACCAGAAGCGCAATCAGAATTGGGAAGAGCCCCTCCGAGCCGTTCGATACGAAACGAGGTTTCAGACATGCTAATTTCTAATCTTAATACTTTAGTTTGTTGTTTGGAGAAAATAATTCCAGCTGCAGAGCTAAATAAAGAAAGTACAATCTTCTATAAGACATCAATAGGATAAATAACCAGTTGAGTTTCGCTTTTTACAGACTGGCTAAGGCAGTGAAGCGTATGGATTTGATAGTGCAGACGAAATATTTCAGGTAATCAATCAAACTGTCATGAAATCCACGACTCGGCTCCCACGTCACAGTTAAGAGTCATATCTTTGAACTCGCCCTGTATTAACACCAACAATAATGTCAGCCTGGAAGGACAACGCAAAATAAAAACTCTTGCCAACAGGTGTAAAGTAAAGTCTCCTCTCGACAAACGAAAACCAAATTCTACAAGTTGCTCATCATACCCGTCCTACTAAATGGCGAAGAATCGCGGGCGATGTCAATATCTGATGAGTCGGTTCTAGGAGTCTTCGATAGAAAGGTGTTACCGCAGCCGATGTATATGAGATATACAGTTCAGCGAATCAAAAACAGCGGTTACGCTGGCTCAAAAAGGGGAGACCTGCACTCCGTTAAAAATACCGGAGAGTGAAGAATTAGGTAATACTGGGTACTTCCAATTGGGGCCAAAAAGTGATGGGTCTCGTAGCTATAGTGCGCTCTTGTTAATCGCCTAAGTGACATCCACGCTAGTGAAAAAGAAGTATGTCCCTAGGGTAACCATGCTAACAAAAATATTTAGTTGTGTATGTTCGAAATAAACATTAATAATTTAATAAGAATATATTCTTATCTATTAAACGATGAGGACAATCAGTATAAAATGAATAGCCTAAACAGCAAGAGAAAAAAAGACGAGAGGAACGAAAATACAAATCCGGTAAGCAGTAGTAATAAAACTATTTAAGTGCTCATAAGTAGAAGCCGAATATCTACATATTTCTCCCTCAAACTTAGTTTTAACAGCCCCGTCCGCTTTCACCACAGACGCTTACAATTGTGTTTGCTATCAACAGTAATAGAAACAGAAAACAAAAAATAAATCATACCATAGAATATAATAAATTACAAAAAAAAAAAAAAAATAAAACTGTCTGGGATACCTATGATCTCACCTGAAATAAATATTATAAAATCGGTTCTATCAACAACAACAGTAAACATACATACATATATATNAAAAATAAAAAAAATAAAAAATAAAAAAAATGGGGCAAGTTGGGGCAAATTTTCTTTTTTTCGAAGGCAAACATAAATGTATCTACAATACGAGAGAAAATATTTCGGAGTGGGATGTGGAGTGGCTTTTAACTTATTAACTTAATAATTTTTAGTTTTTGAAATATTTTACCTCTTTAAACCGATATTAAAAATGTTTCATAAACAAATTATCAACGAATTTCAATTTATGACCTTAACATGCTTTCAATTAACTTATCTGTAGCTGACGATTCCATGTCATAAATCTTAAAATCTTCGAGAAATGAGACAATTTTGAAGATTGCGTTTCTTTGGGGTTGAAATATACAATCGTTGAAACGCACCGGACGCTTAGACTAGAACTGCTTCTAACAGCCATGTGTGCACAACAGAGCCTCAAAAATGGTCTTTCCGAACAGTAGGCATGCCAATGCAACTTTTCCAGGTATTAAATGTTCCAAATTTAAACTATTTTTCGGGCTTTTGGCCACGTTTTTAGCTTCTGGAACCACTGTGAAGCGTCACGCTTTAAAGAGATTGTGTTTCATTTGGCATTTGAAAAGCTTTACGAATTATTATTTTTAAATTATAATCACACTCCATGGTAATTTCATCACTTTGCATGGCTTATTTGCACGAAACAGAAATTTGCACTCTTAGTTGATAGATCAAAGCCTTACGGAGGAACCTCTATGACTCAAGTGTTTTTTCATGACTGTGCGATTGAAAAATCGTTCCGCCAAAAGTTTGTCCATAATCGGTTGTTCAATTGAAAAAAAGTTAGTTTGGAAGACGGCCTTTTGTTTTTCGTTTCGTATATTCTTACCCTCTTTTAAACATAGATTTTTTTTGTTACAAGAACAGGACAATCCAAATTGGAAGCAGAATATAAGCGCCAATTCAGTTCAGAAGGTCATTCACACAAAAACTCTCATTGAGAACTGCAAGCGCATCTCTGACCTATGGGTCGTGTGAACGCCATAAATTGGGCTTGAAGTTGTGTACGCGACGAATCATGAACCATTTTGGCAAACACAGAGTCACGAATACCATGCCGTGCCTTTGATCATAAATTACAAATGACTGGTATTCGATTTCAGCACAAAGCCAAAATAAAAAAAGAGCTTTAAAAAACCTGAGGAAGCCAACATGAATTCTTGTGGATATTCTCACGAGTGCCCTTATCTTACAATGCTTATAGTTACAAATATGTTTGCTCGTATTATTTTTTTTCGCTTTCACAACTCACCTGCCTGTAAGCGCGCTCGGCTCTACATAGTCATAATGTGGAGTCCACGTGTAGAGCATACCATCGTAGGGTACGTCATTGTAGGCGGCACATTGATGCGAACGAAAGTATTTCTGCTCCTGACAGGGCTGCATGTTGCAAATGCGATAGCGTACGCGCTCGCCCGTACAACCATTTTTATTATAATATTACAACGGGGCATTTGTTGCATTATGCCGTCATCGCAGGTACGTGAACGCGTTTGACCACTACGACCAGTCGGACCACTGCCCATCTTTATTGTCCAGCGATGCGACGCTGGTGTCGCCGAAATTGAGATGCGGCTGCTGCCACTGCTTTTGACATGCTCTTACTGCAACTTGCACTAAATTAATTAGCGAGAAAAAAGCAAAAAATACAAATAACAAAAGTAAGGAAGAATTTCGTTTAACGGTTGAAAACAACAAAAAAATAAACAAGTTACATGTTTCCTAGTTGGTTGCGAGGTAGAAGAATAAAAGAACTTCTTGAAAAAAAAAAAAACAAATTAAATTCTTTAAAACCATCTCAGGGAAACCTCCAAAACACTGGACACTACTTGACGCCAACTGTCCGTCGGTTAGAGCTAGGTGCAGTTTAAAAGCGTAGGCGGTATATCAGATCTAGACAGGCTATGTAAGCAGTGCAGACATTCTAGGATTACAAATCACCGGGGTTTGATGAAATCTTTACGGCTATGCTTTTGAAGAGCCAGTGACAGGGTTGTAAGGTTCTTAAACAATTTCATCGAATCTTACATTAGAAAAAGCTCCATACCAATCTCAATGCAAATGGCAACCAGAGTATTCCTGCCCTAAGTGCTATCCTCGAATCAGTTTAATTTGCTTCTTCTAAAAACATTTGAGTGCCGGATAGATGTTCATAAAAAGCATACTGGGAGTGTATATTCTCATTCTTGAAAGTATAACTACACAAAAGGTAAATTGATAGAAAAATCATTGCAAGATGTCGTGCGAACTATAGAATCGGTTCTCAAAAATAGAAAGTATGCCTTTGATATCTTCCAAGACATATCTAGAGCTTTCAACAAAGTTTTTAAACATTCCTTGATGGATGAGTTAGACTCTACAAGAGTTAGTTAATCTTGCTGCTGGGGATTGGATATATATCTCGCTAAGTTGCTGGAAGAACCAAGTGTAATGGGATGGTGTTATATTCACAAAAACACCACAGAGTGAAGTGGTTTTCCCCCAGCTCTAGACCATTGCGGTCAACGAATTTTTGAAGAAAAACGAAAATGGAGCAACCATACTTACAGCATATGCAGCCACTCAGCCACCCAGCCATAGTGGGCGGTAAATGTTTGACAACCCACGGATCTCTAGTGAATCAATGACATAGAACCACTAACAACTAGGTTATTTCTGCAGGCCTTGAAGTGAATACTGATAAAACAGGTATGGTTCTATTCACAAGGAAATATTCACATAAAAATCCACCTTGGATTAAACCAAATATCGGAGAGGCCACTCCAGAGCTGAAGTCTAGCCTAAGTACCTGAGAATTGTGTTATATATCAAGCTGTCGTGGAGATTCAATGTAGAGGAGAGAGCGAAGAAGGCATAAACAAAGGTATTTGTGTAAATATAGGAGTAAAGTTTTTCTCACTAGAGACACATTAAACGATGAAAATGTACAGCTACAGTAATATGTAGTGTATCGTCGATCTTAGTCTCGAAGTGTCAGCCAACTCAACCTAACCTTATCTTAAAATTGGCTTATTAGAAAATTATTTTATATACATATCAGTATCAGAGTTATGGTCATATGTACGTTTCTGGTAACACTTTGGTTGTGATTTGGTCCATATTGGGTTGCCCAAAGAGTCCAATAGTTCACTCCTATCCAAATTACACTTAAATCTCTGCTTTCAGGTGTACAACTTTGCCTCCGCCGTTTTCCGATAGGTGGCTGTACCGGCTGTGGCTGGTTGAAATACATAGATGATAATGCCTATAAAGTGAGTGTGGACAGTGCCTGACGAATAGTCATCGCCGTTTCAGTGGCAGTTGTTCTTGTTTTCGTATTATTCACGCTCGAAAATGTCCGTTTGTGTGCCTAATTCTCGCCATTTGCGGGAATTTTTACTTTTCAGTTACAATTCGAAAAAAATGCAACTGAAGCGCATCGATTGCTCTCAGAAACTTACGGTGATGCTACTCTGAGTGAAAGAACGTGTCAGGAGTGGTTTCAACTTTTTAAAAATGGTGATTTCGATGTCGAAGACAAACATGGTGGTGGAAGAGAATCAGCTCGGTGTGATTTACTACGTGCTCTTAAAACCTGGTGAAACCATCACAGGAGATCGCTACCGAAAGGAAATGATGCGCCTTAGTCGCGCGCTAAAAGAAAAGCGGCCAAATTATCAAGAGCGACATGACAAAGTCATCCTCCATCACGAGTATGCTCGGCCTCACGTCGCAAAAGTTGTTAAAAAGTACCTGGAAACGCTGAAATGGTCTTGCCCCACCCGCCGTATTCCCCTTGTGACTTCCACCTATCACGTTCGATGGCAAACGGCCTGGCAGTTCAACATATTCAATCCTTCGAAGATTTGGAAAAATGGATTGCTTCATGGATAGCGTCAAAAGAGGACTCCTTTTTTCGAGCTGGGATCCAAAAATTGCCAGAAAGAAGGGAGAAAGTTGTCGCTAGCGAAGGACAATACTTTGAATAATATTTCTGTAGGCACTTTTTCGCAATAAATCTTTTAATTTTGGGAAAAAAACGGCGGAAGCAAAGTTGTACACTTGATACGTTACTTCGTTACTAAGGATTAACTGCTACTACATGCATACAAGTTTTGTTTATATGAAAATACCTTTACACTCACTTCGTTTTCAAATTTCCAATCGGAGCATGTGTTTGACGTATGATCAAAACTGTGATTGACATTAATACGTTTCGCCAAGGTTACTTTTCCACGGAATTTTATAGCCTAGAAATAGAAGAAAAAAAGATATAAATAAAAATGAACTAAATGGAGCAAAATAGTTAAAATATTGTTTTTTGTATAAAAATAGATACCTAACCCGTCGCTATTGCCGAAAAACTCAAACTAAAGACGCCATCGCATATATGGTCGTTCAATAAGTAATATCGTTTTTTGAGTTTAATTTATTTGGTTGAATTATGTATTACCCGTTTTAAACCAAAAGATATATTTTTGTCTTTTTCGAACAAGATATTGATTTCGCGATCATATAATTTGTGATCCTCTTTGTTAACTGGTCTGAGAGAGTTTTGACGACCTGATGATGAGAGATGAGAGTTCTCCCATGCAAATTTTTGCTTTTTGAGTTATAGTCTTTATTCTACAGATTTGACGGGTGGGTATGGTAGAACATCAATTTTAAACTGCAAAAGCTTATGGCAAGTCATCAAACTTTTATGAAGTCTCGCATTTCCCTGGTGGAACACTATACCTTTCCTACCGATCAATTTCCACCTCTACTGTTTGTCCAGCTGATCACAATAAACTTCACATGTAATCGTGGTATTCTTCAGGAAAAGCTGAAAATAATCGATTCCCTTGAAAACTCCCTAAACAGACAACAGAACTTGTTTTGGGAAACATTGGCCTTCGAAACGGTTTCCGCCGGTTCACCCCTAATCAAGGTTTTACATTATTGTGAACCAGTTTCTAGTTTTTAAAAAAGATCACTATTTTGATGTTTGTTAAGCAAATGACAGTCATTAATGCGACGCATCAAAATTCATTCTTTAAGAACATGCGGAACCCACATATCATGCTATGAAATTAATCCTAGATATTTCACGTACTTGTGCGCGTTCGAATAATTTTATCTATTGGCAATCTCTGGAGTTGTTATTCTATGATTTGCATCGACCAAAGACTTTACTTAAACCACATTGGCTGCAAGAGCACTTCCAGGACGTGGTACGTCCTCAATATTGAAATTGCCGGAATGAAATTTTTTCTCTAACCAATTATGGCATTGGTGTTGGGGTAACACATCTTGTCCGTAAACATCAAAAAATTTTCGCCTTGCTTAAAATACTCCGAATTTACTGTTTTCAATCTTTCATCTTCGCTACGGTACAAAACAAAAACTGTTGCAAGTAATTTAACAATTTTTTTTTACAAATAAATCTTACTATATAAGCTTTTGAAATATATAACCGATACAGTGATTTTCGGCCAAGCTTCTTCTTTAAATTGCGGCGAGCTTCTTGATATTTTTCTATTAAATGGAGAGGCCCACAGTTCATTCAAAGTCCGACATTCCTGAGGGTCGACCTCAATTAGAAAAATTAAATTAAATTAAGTTTCTATAATATTTAGATGTTTCTCGGACAAGGACTTGTACCCTGGGCTTTTGAATTGTAGTACGCACTGCCTTCCACTGAACTATTGTTGCCGTACTTACTCGTACATTCATTAGTATATATTAGTATGCTCTGAGCATAAAAGCAGCACTCCAGACACTACTTTTTTTATATTTACACCGTTATTGCATCATTACCCTCACAATTGTTGGACTGAGCCAGAGTGGACCGGTAATACATGAACCAGCTATTTCGCTTCCCTTTTTACGTTTGTTGTTGTTTGTTTTTTTGTGATTACTACTGCCCTTTCTGGCTTTTGAATAATTGATTTTTGTCGTTTACTGTCAGTCAGGCAGTAAGTCAGTCACTTGGCTGCCATTTAAAATGCAAAACAACTGAAGCTGACTTCGAGGCAAGTGTAACGGCAACAGCAAAGTAAACAAGGATCTAACTGGTCACGAGCGTAGCTTCTATCAGAATAATTCGTGTGGCTGAGCAGCGGAAGCTCGAGCAGCAACAGCAAAGCCAACTTTTTTGCGGCATTTTAATGGCAAATAAAACATTTACCCCCATGTCACCGGCTGTCAATGTGGCATGCAACCTGAAGATGGGGAAATAATATACAATAACAGCAGCGACACAAAATCGAGGGTTTAAAGAAGAGTTAACGGCAGGTGGTTGAGCCGCAAATAGAAGCGAAATGGCACGAGCATAACATTACTTTCGGCTTTAGTGGAAATCCCTTAATGGAAAGGTGTGTACGAACCAAACATAAATAAATATACGGAAATCTGGCTAAGCAGACACCAACTCTGCCCACTCAGCAAGCAACTTTATGCTGATATTCCCACACAAACCCAGTTATACTCGTACATATCCGTATATACAAACTTATATATATTTATTTGCTCATCATTGTTATTTTATCTATATTACCGTTATTACGTCATTGTAGACTCTTCCATAGAATTTCAGTTGTCATTATTATTACATTTATTGTTATTTGCATTTTTGTTATGCCCAGTTGGGAAGACA